GCAGTCGCGTCCGTCCCGGGGAGAGCAGCCCCCCAAGGCGCCGGGGCATCGCCGCCCTCTTAGGTGGGTCCACGCTCCGGACCCTGACGCTGAACCCCCTGGGCCAGGAATGGATAGTGAGAACCTAGGCCCGGGGGTGGGAGGCTCACGGAGGCCTCCCTGGAGGAGGCCGCATCACAGGTGAACAATGGTGTGGAGAAGAGCAGGTGCAACTTCTAGGAACTGGGGAGCCGTTCAGGGCCAGGCACCGCGGCAGGGTAGGCTGGGTTGGGCCAGCTGAGGATTCAGACACCCTCGGGCACTAGGGATCCACCCCAGAATCAAGTGAATGGAGACAGGAAATGTTCTCAAACTGGGACTACTGACTGCGCAGCTAGGAGAGGCCAGGACCCCGCAACCAGCACCCCTGACCCCCTCCCTTCCTCCTCCCCAGAGCTCCCCCATTAGTGCTCCTGAGGGGTACAGCTGCCACCCACAGGCTGGGGGACATCTGGGGGTAACCCAGTTAGTCCCCTTGATGGGGGCCTCTGGAGACCCTCGAGTCCCGAGAGTGGCCACTGGCCTCCTGGCCTCCTGTCCAGGCAGAGGACCCGACCTGCCTCTTCAGGCCGCCTGTGACCACGCACACCCTGGGCAAAAGCCTTGGTGCCACTCGGGTTGGCCTGGCTCCGCACCGTCTTGCCCAGTGGTCGGCAAACTCATTTGTCAACAGAGCCAAATATCAATAGTACAACGATTGAAATTTCTTTTGAGAGCCAAATTTTTTAAACCGAAACTATATAGGTAGGTACATTGTTATTAACTTAATTAGGGGACTCCTAAGGCTTAGGAAGAGCCACACTCAAGGGGCCAAAGAGCCGCATGTGGCTTGTGAGCCGCAGTTTGCCGACCACGGGCCTTGCCCGGTAGCTGGGACGTACCTTTGAGTGGCAGCCCTGTCTGGAGGAAGGCGGACACCTGCCCAGGACACTGCTCCACTACCTCCTGGCTCCTGCCTGGGCCACGCCAGCCAGGTCCACACCCCTTAAGTAGCGAGGGAGTGAGGAGCAACTTCTAGGGGGAGGGGGGTTGGGGGGGACTTAGAGTCAGTCCTCTGAGGCAGAATGAGGGTGTCTGTATAGGGAGGGTCCACAATGAAGTGGGACTGGGCAGGGGGAGCCATGTGCTCCATGTGTGTGGCTTCAGGGTGGACAGGCCCGCTCCCTGCCCCAGTGGCCCTGGTCACACACAGGCCACCAGCAGGGGAGGCTGGCAGGGAGCATGGCGTTTCTAAGGCAAACGGGCGATCCAGTCCTCCCGAGCCTTGGGCCCCATGGCTGTCCCAGGCCTGTGGCAGCAAGAGCCCCTCCGCTGGCCCTGCTCCCCCACTGCGGTCTAAGAGTGCCCCTGCCCAGGGCACTGCCTTGGGAGGTGGTTGGGAGTAGACAGGCCAAGGCTGAACTAGGGAGTGAGGCTGGGACCCCTTATGAAGGATGTCGGTGCCCTGGGCCCGCCTTCCTCAGAAGCCCCGGAGCTCAGGCCCCGCGGGTCCGCGGGCAGGCTCTGGCTTCAGATCCTGGCTTGGCCGGCCCGGGCTGCTTGGGGAGACCTCCCTGCTCCTAGCCCAGGGCACCACCAGTCTTC